AGAATATTCCAGAACCTTCCAGACCTTCTTGGAAGCTTCCATCATATTCTAGAACATTCGAGTACCTTCCAAAACACTTTATAGAGGAAGCATGCATATAGAGTTGGATGTGTTAATGCTTATATGATTCTTGACAAACTTGCTTGAGCTTTACACGGGGTCTGACGTTCGGGAAAAAAATCTATACGCATTATATTTTGGAAACGAATGAAGCATGCCCACACAAAAGTGTCCTGATCCATGTCTTTTGATTTGGAAGCCGAAGCTTTGGATGAAGCTAGAGGTGTTTTTCATGGCTTTGGATCTCGGATGGATTAAACACCCGCTATATCCTTTGGATAAGGCATTTCAGTGGGGACGTAGGTTTGGGGTTTGTTATTTGTGTTATCGTATTCCTAAGGAAAAAATTGAACATGTTATTATTCAAGCGTCCTTTTTAGTGTGTCTTGCTAGGCAAGTCTTCATCTTTATTATAGTCTGAATGCGATGTGGATTGTGCTTATTGAGCAAACCGAATGAAGATTCTATTGGGGCAGTTTTTCTTTGGGATATTAGTCATTGTGGCCTTGAAGTTCCAGGGAGAATCTTTCAGATCAATGCCTCGTTTGAGTACAAGTTTTTCTTTTTTGCTTATAGAGTTGGATGTGTTAATGCTTATATGATTTTTGACAAACTTGCTTGAGCTTTACGGGGCCTGACATTCAGGGAAAAAAATCTATACACATTATATTTTGGAAAGGAAGGAAGCATGCCCACACAAAAGTGGTCTGGTCCTTATCTTTTGATTTGGAAACTGAAGCTTCGAATGAAGCTAAAGGTGTTTTCCATGGCTTTTGCGCTCAGATGGACTAAACACCCGCGACATGCTCAAGAGAAGGCGTTTCGGTGTGGACAACATTTTCGGTGTGTTTTTTGTGTTGTCGTATTCATAAAGAAAAAGTTGAGCATGTTATTATTCAAGCATCCTTTTTTAGTGTGTCTTGTTAGGCAAGCCTACAGCTTAATTGGAGTCCGAATGCGACGCGGATTGCGCTTATTTAGCAAGCTAAACGAATATTCTACAGGGGTGGCTTTTCTTTGGGATATTAGTCATTGTAGCCTTGAATTTCTGAGGCGAATGTTCCAACGCAATGCCTGGTTTGCTGCAAAAGTTTGGCATGCCAATTCCTTGCATTTTTTCAATATTGACTACTAACTGGGTGATTATCGAAAGATCTAATCGACCTCACATGAAGCTGCGCAATTTGGGCTGATCAAACTTTTGAAACGAAGGAAGCATGCCCACACAAAAGTTATACATGGTTATATTTTGGAACAAAGGAAGCATGCCCACACAAAAGTGGCCTGATCCATGTCTTTTGATTTGGAAACTAATGCTTGGGATGAAGCTAAAGATGTTCTCCATGGCTTTTGATCTCGGATGGACTAAACACCTGCAATATGCTCGGGAGAAGGGGTTTCGGTCTCTCAACATAACCAGTTCAAATTTCTGTACACCAAGTTCGTTTGTGACAGTCGACACATAATTTAGCTAGTTTGTCATTTCAATATTACTAGCTAGTTTGTCTTGTAACTAGCAAAGTCGCAGTACTTTTTAGTGGTGTGTATTTGATTACATAATAATTGATCAATAGAGCAGTCTGAACCTGCTTTTTGGCTCTTGCCATGCTCAACTTATTATATGATGAAATGCAAGAGGATATATGCTTGCACCCAAATGAAGATAAATTTTACAATATACTGCATATTTGGCAAATACAACAAGATGATTAACTGGATAACAAAATTATCATTTCACAGCACGAAAACATGCAGAGGCACTATCTGATCTCGTAAACCAAAAGCACAAGGCAAAAAATGCCCAACTGAAGCCTGGCTAAGCATTCAATTCCAGGTTAATGTATTTGCCCTCTGAATGAAACCTACTACACACTTGCTGTCCAGAAGAAACACCAGCAGTTGGATTTTGCCGAAGATTCAATTGACCGGTAGATACCAAAAGATGATCCATTTGACCACATGATACTAAGAAGAGAGTTACTGCATATACAAGTCATCCTCTACATGTTATATCATCAACTAGTCTCTATCTGTTCGCGGCTGCAGGATTCGTAAGCATGTATAGGATTGCATAGCCTGATAGCACGGTTAGAACCCTTGATCCTCGGAACATCATGCTTCGGGTCGACCGATCAGGGTTGTTGGGGGAGGCCGGGGAACTTCCCCATTGGGGTGTCTGTGGCGGCGACAAGGTACTTGCCCAAGTCATGGCGACACTTTGGGCACTTGGCCACCTTGTAGAACCACGGCAAGATGCAGTCGCAGTGGAAGGAGTGGGAGCACGGCAGCCTCACCCTCACGGTGGTGTCACTGTCGTCATTGGTGTCACTGTCGTCCCTGACAAAATCCTCCATGCATATAGGGCAGTCGGTCGGCGTCGCCGCGAATAGGCATCGAGTCACCGTGGCACGCTCGTCACACGCCAGAAGCAGCGCCTTGGGCTCTCTGTAGATGACCTCCACCCGGATGGTCAGAGACATTTCCATGTTGTAGCGGAGGGTGACGCCACCGTTCTCATCGGTGTCACGGCGGGATCCGTCCGCCACGAACGTGGCCAGATCGTGGGGAAGGAAGGTGTCCCAGTTGTCGGCGGCAAGGTCGATGTCGCAGAGGAGCGGCTTCTGCGCGAGCATCTGATGGATGGTGTCGCGGCAGACCAAGTAGCTTCGGAAGAAGGCGTTGGGATCAAAGAGCTCAAAGGCCTGGTTGAATTTCCTTGGAGCATCCTCGTGCAGGAGGGTGGGTCTCCTCGGCCCTCCCACTGCCTGCAGTGTGTAGCGCGCCAGCAGGTTGCCGTGCAGGAGGACGCGGCACCTGTGACCTTCGCTCGGGTTGATGATGATGTCTCGCTTGATACTCCCTTCTCCACTGAGACGTCACTCTGTCGCCACTGCGGCCACCAGCGATATTCTGCTCAATGGCGGCCAAGGCATGCCTTGTGGCTGTCCAGGAAGCTCGAATCAGGCTGGACCTGAGAAGAAACAGAGCACGGTCGTGTGATGTCCTGGCTGAATCAGAGGACGACATTGCCTAAGGAAATAAAATGGGCAAAAGGAGGAGTGTATAAATTAAAATTAAAATATAAATTAAAATTAACCCTGACAGCATACTTGGTTATCCAGTGCAAAAATGGGTTCCCTTTTAAACTATGGAACAGAAGGAATCATCATCAGCCGTAAATGCAAGTCAGCTTCTCTTCATACAGAATAGAAGACGTCTTGGAAGCATGAACCACACCTTATATATATGTGCTAATCTGATGAGAGCATTTTCTTTTCAATTTAATCGCGCAGTGCCAACATCCGCACCCATAGATGTTTTGTTTGTGTACGAATAATAGAATTTTTTTCTTCTAAAATTTAATGAACAAAGTTTAAGGTCCATAGGCTCCTATATATCCTGTCGAACATAGAATTCTACTACATTGGCTGAACAAATTGGCATTTCAACTTTCCCAGAGGCATTATCGCAAACACCTTGCGAGCGGGCTCAGAGCGCGCACCTGCGGCATAGACTATGCTAATCGCAAGCAAGCGAAGCAACCATCACGATTCACAAACGCCACATGCAATTGCAAAAAAATTGGGCGGAACGGAGGCTGAAGGAGAGGCTGAGGGGGGAGGGAGGGAGGAGGGTGAAGGTGGGATGGAGCATTACCTTTCTGGGGAACAATCAGGGCTGGAGAAGCGGTGCTCGGCGGTGGAGTAGCGGGGAGGCGCGGAGGCGGTCCGCCCGGCGGTGGTCGACGGGGAGGAGGCGGCGGCAGCGGCGACTCGAACCTCCCTCGGGTTGCGGCGCACCGTCCCTAGCTGCGGCCGCCGCAGAGTGGCTCGCGCGCTTCGCTTCGGTCGGGTGGAGTCCAAACCTGGCCACATGGGCCGGTCCTGGCGTGCCTGGTCTGTGATGGGCCTGGCCCGGCACGATCCCCTTTTTTTACTTTTATACTTCCCAATAGGATGAATATAGGCCCAAAATAGCCCAATAGGCGAATCATACACGGGCTAGCGGGCTAAACATGCCGTCGGACCAGTCCGTTTACTAAGGGAGTCGTTTGCCTAAAAAAAAAAACTAAGGGGGTCGTTCATCTTGCTAGGCAAGTCCTCATCTTTATTGGAGTCTGAATGTGACGTGGATTGCGCTTATATTGAGCAAGTTGAACACGTTCTATTGGGGCAGTTTTTCTTTGGGACATTAGTAATTGAGGCTACGAAATTCTAGGGAGACTGCTTCAAAGCAATGCCTGGTTTGTTGCACAAGTTTGGCAGGTCAATGTCTGGCATTTTTTTTTTCAAATATCGACTACTAAATGGTTGGTTACCGAATGATTTAGCCAACATCACATAAAGTTGCGTAATTTTGGCAAGTCTTGGCTTTATCATTAGTGGTGTGTTTCATTAAAAAAATCATTTCCTTTTCACAAAAATGCTAGCATTTTGAAGTTGCTGGTTTTTCACACAAAATGAGAAAAAATGTACAAGCAATGAGGTTGCATGTGTGCCCTGAAATAAAATGGGGGCGTAGAATGTCTACATCGTTAACGCGTGGCATGTCAATTGGTAGGCAATTTGGGTAGGGGGGAAATTGACTTTTTTTCTTCATGGTGAGGTTTGTCGGCCCTCCCCTGCCGTCCTAAACCAAGGGCTTATGGATTCGGTTCCCTAATCAATCTCTCTTCTCTCTCTTGTGGGTCATGCGCTCCACCCCTCAGATCAGGGCATGACTGATTGTTTGATTGCTTCATACTTCCACGGAGGAGAAGAGGTAATCATCGAATTTAATCCCCTATCCTAGCGGGTAGAGTAGTGTTCCTTCGAAGATGCGACAGACTTCGTCGACCTCTTTGTGCCGCATGCCGAAACGTAATCGTTGTTGGTTCTTGTTCCAGGGTAAATCCTATTTGTTGCTTGTTGCCACTGAGTGTGGTGCAATCACAAAATGGCGGGTTGGCCAGACTACCACTTTTTCCGGGTTTTAAGAAGGATCTAGAAGGATTTCATTTTTATTTCATTTCATTTTTGTTGTTTTCTTTGTCTGTTATTTTTTATTTCTTTCTTGTACATTTCTACATTTTCTATTTGAGTTATTTTTTTTACGTTTTAGAATGGTTTTATTTACCTTTATTTTTATTTAAAAAAATACAAAAATTTCAAAAATATTCACAACCTAAAAAAATCAGATGTTTAAAGGAATGTTCACAAATTTTAAAAAATCTTCACAAAGATTTTTCTAAAATGTACGTGAATATAGATTGACGGAAAAACTAAAGTAACCTAAAAAACTAGGAACTGAATCAAAAACCAATGAAAATTAGAGGAAGTGATAAATGTAAAAGAATACTTACTGCTACGTAATTTATTTATCATTTACAACACAAAATTTCTGTAGAGCCCCTTTATTTATAGGAATGCAATCATATTCCTATGGAGGAATTCTTCCTATCCTCCACATTTCATAGGAAAATAAATATTAGCCTAGACTCAATGGGAAAAAAATCCTATGATGTGAATCAAAGGGCATCTCCTTTCCTATTAATTTCTGCTCATAGGATTTAAGATACATGTCATCTCATTTCCTATGATTTTCCTATTGCTACGATTTTCCTACACTACGAACCAAGTGAGGCCTGAGATCCCATGATGAGGGTGTCATGTCTCTTCTCGAGAGCAAGAACAACCAACATAGTATAGATGGACAAGTGGCTGCTCCAGTTTTAGCCCATCACCCCATCCCTACCGCCACCATATTATTGGCTTACAATTCAAGGTATTTGCTTAACAACATATGTTCTAGAGTTTTATAGAATGATATGTAAAGATATTAAAATAGTTATGACACATAGAATGTACAATAAGACATCTCATGATACATATTAATTATCAAAAAATTGTTTTAAGATCCAAGGGTTCAATTGAACCAAACGTTCTCTTAGGAATATTTCAGACAAGGACCTAAAGAAAAAGTGAATGTAACTCTTGACGCAAAATACAATTTTGGTTGATACAAATGTATTTGCAAATACATGGCAAAAGTTATGACAAATAACATTGCACTGTAAATTTTACTGTGGAGTTAGCAGCAACATCTCTGGGCCGACGAGCTATGATGTAGACCAACAACAAGGAATTGAGAATATTTTTCATTGTTTTATTAAATAGCGTTGAGTGAGGGTCTGAGTTGTGCAGTTCAAGAGCGAGGGCCGAGTAGCATCACGGGGAAAACATGAAATTTGAATGTTTCCATCTTCCACATTGTATTGCCCTAATATTTTTTGTTTTTAGATATCAAATGGAGTCAACCAAATTCCGAGCATTTTAACAGCCGAGTTAGAAGTATAGCAAGAACTAAACACGTCTTATGTAGACAAATTCAATCATGAACATCAAGGTTGGATCACATGTCGTTTTTATTGCGGAAAGAAAAAAATATGATTCTTTTATGTCATCAGACTCACTTAGTATGTCTTTTTCTCATGTTACACATGACCATTTAGACAATGTTCTTTTCTTTTTATGTTACTCATGGTCATTTTTCTTGTTTTTTGGCGAACTATTTTGACATGATTCGTTGATTATTTTTGTATGTGAAATGAGTTAAATATGTGAACCTTAATTATGGGTGTGTCAGTATTTCCCCCTCAAATAGTACATTATTTAGCATAAACCATTACAAATGGGGTTGCCTTTGTAGTAGATCATCAATTTTCTTTTTTTTTGTCAAACATCAGAACATAGTATGTTTTTTTTTGTGCAGGAAGCACAACCAGCTTAATGATCCGATACCAAGGCACTCCAGATCACTTGTTGAGGTGTGTCATGTCGGTGTATCCTGAAAATGAGAATGATAACCAACCTAGAAGAGAAGAAATGGAGGTTCTCATATCGGGATTCAACTTATTTAGTCCCACATCGTTGTTTGCATAGTTTCATCTATATACAGTCTCATGGTTTTTTCCATTTTGAATAAGTGGCATATGCAAGGGCCATTTGTTGCCAAGGCAAGGATGTCTTTTCCCCCCTTTTTAGCTGGAGTAATATTAGCATTTTCTTTTCCACGTAAAAATATTTTCTTTTCACAAAATGCTATCATTTTAATGTTGTTTTTCTTTTCACACAAAATGTAAAAGGGAAAAAAGGTACTAGCAACAGGGTCGCGTGTGTGCCTGGAACTATAATTGGGGCATATAATGTTTACAACAATGATGGGTAACAATTTTGGTTTTATTTACTTTTATTTTTTATTTGAAAAGATCATAGAATTTCAAAATTATTCACATCCTTAGAAACCAGAGATTTTAAGAAATGTTCACAAATTTTAAAAAATCTACACAAGTATTTTCAAAAAATGTACATGAATATAAATTGATCGAAAAATTAAAGTAACCCAAAAAATTGGTAACTGAACCAAAAACCAAAGAAAATTAGAGAAAGTAAAAAACATAAAAATAACCGACTGCTACGAATTTATCATTTACAGTACAAAGCACTATGTGAAGGAACCAAGACACAAGGCAAACATGCCCTCCTGAAGGCTGAGGATTCAGACGATGGATACTGGAAGACATAATGAACACATCTACTCCAGCACACAGATGGAACTCTTCAACACCCGTGAAACTAAGGACACATCATCTACATGAACCAGAGAAAATAAGCACATAAACCATAATCTATATTTTTGTTCTTCGATCCTCCATAAGCAGAAACTAAAGAAATAATTTATAGATGTTAGAATTGTGTCGAATATTATTGTACAAGGTAGGTTACAGTTGGACTTGGTTTGGGACTGTGTGTAGACAGGGTAGGAGTCGTGTCCAAGTAGGACACTTGTATCCTAGACCTCTCATATATAGCGAGGGTAGACACACGATGTAACCTATGCCAACATAATAGCACGGGCACGCGGGGGAGCCGGCGGCGTGTGCCGGCGCCCGGGCGGCCGTGGTGCGGTATTGTGACGGTGTCACGGGGAGAAGCGCCCGTAGTCAAGCCCCGGGGATGTAGCCATATCGGTGAACCTCGTTAACAAATCTCGGTGTCATGCTTGTGTGACTGCTTGGTCCTCGGTTGATCGACGGAACGCCTCAAATTTATTCTAACAAGTGGTATCATGAGCAAGGTTCGATTTGAGGTTGCGGATTTGTTGATCAAAGGAGAGCGACGGGGATCTGCTGCAGATTGGCACGATATTCGCGTGGGATGTCGGCAGCGATCGAAGAACGTCGGGTATTAAGCGATCGGAAGCAATAGGCGACGGCAGCGGCGCAAGTGCATACATGAAGCGTTGGGGACGAGATCGCAACCGGATCGGAGCGGCGACGGCAGCGGCAGCGCTAGGCCAGATGCGCGAGTTGGCGAGCGCAGCACGCGCGTGTGGATGGGCCAAGCGGGACTCCGCAGTCCAGGCGTACAGCAATCGAAAGGTGGCCGAGACAGGCCGGCCCTAGGCGGCAGCGTAAGGTCCATTATGGGCCTGTAACACGAGATGCAGTCTGGCAAGGCCAATGCGGGCAGGCTGAGGCACGCAATTGCTTGCTGTGGTAAAGCTGGGACGCGTGGCGAGTTACTTAATTGTGCGACGCAGAAAAGGGGCGTCAGAGAACACCATGATGCGTGCATTGATGAGCAGGAAAGATAGTAAATCAAGTCTACAGTAGTGAGGTGTGGTGGACATGCAATGCTTTACACGGAGAAGGCTACAAGGGATGTTGTTTTGACTTTCTTTGCTTTGTACATGGGTTGTACGTGATGGCAGCATGAAGGTGTGTCGAGACGCGGCGTCGCATGTTCATATAAGATCAACAGGAGTTGGCGAGTGGATCCACGGTTATTTTTTGGTCTGATGGATACATGTTTTCTCAAGTGTTGCATTAAGGATGTGATCTGTTTGTGCGAAGGATTGCTTGATTGTGTAGCGGAATGCCAAGTTGATGAAGATGGATGTGTGCAACGAGGATGGCGACGTGCGTATATGGTTCGGAGGAGTCTGGAGTGCGTCGTGACAGGGATCATGCATACACAGGGCGTCAAGGCAATGCACAGATGTGCGAGGCGGACACGACGCAGGGTGGAGCATGGTGCAGCCGGATAATTTCGGCTGGGTCGGATTGGACAGTCTGATGGATCGACGGCAAAGTCGGTCAAAGCAGAAAACGGCGGAGATTTCAGCGACAACGACATAGGAGCGTGATGCTGATGGTGGCCGACTTCTGGGGCGTGGAAACATGTGGTGCAGGCCTGAGGGCTTGTGCAGCTTCGACAAGACTATGGCGCAGGATTGATTCAAGGTTGTGTACACATGAGAGATTGAAGTCGACAAGGCGCGGGGGTGGCACGTACAACCACCATGGAGTCATGTTGAAGGTGGAGCTGGAGTCCGGCGGAAGACTTCACTCTGTGCTGATGGAGGGGCTACGGCGTAAGAATTCGGAGAGTCGAAGCCTATTTCAGCGGGATAGCAAGAGACACGTGGTTTCAGACTGGGTATCAATGGTTTGAAGGAGATGTGATACTCGGCATCGGTCGGTGATGATCGGTGGTTCTCTGCAGTAGGTGTCTGAGTGGCGTGGGTTCGCGACCTTGGGAGTCTCGACTAGGACAGCAGAGGCTCAACGCGGTGATAGCGGCGAGGCGTGCGGTAAGTACGGGACACAATGACAGGCCAAGGCATTGGTGGTCAGACATGTGGTCAGGCAAATTGTGCAGGGGGTGCTGAAGCAGTGTTGACGAGTACCAGATTCGAGTTGGTGACTGGGTCTATCGGTGCCGGTTGATGGACAAGAGTTGACCATGGAGAATCTGAGAAAGTGGCGGGAAGTCTGGAATTGTCAAAACAGAGAGAGTACATGGCCGTATATTCTGTGGTGTTCAGTGCACATGGCAAAGTGCGGATGACAAATACAGAAGGAGGCGGAGTGCTATAACTGTGAGACATGCCAGAGACTATCCGGAAGAAGGGTGAGACAACTGCAAATTTGACTCAGGGTGACACAGGGCGACGGTGAAATTCCTTCAAGTTTCAGACAGACGGTCAAGAAAGAGCGGTGATGTTGAGTTCAGCTAACTCTTATATATGGCGTCCAATACGTGAGTTGTTCACTTTCATGCAGATAGTGGTCGGTGTGTGATGGCGTTGAACGGATTCTCCGGAAGTTGGGAGCACGGACTAGAGTAACAAGGAACTTAATTTTGCTCGAGTGTTGACTGTGGTCAAGAAAAGGAGGAACTACAAGTTGCAGGTGGAGTCACATGGAGTATGGGAGTAGCAGCGGTGCTCATGGCGTATCGCAAGTCCAATGTACAAGGAGGTTCGATGCATGGATGAATTCAAGGTGGTGAAAAATATTCGCCAATGTGGAGTTTGTTAGAATTGTGTCGAATATTATTGTACAAGGTAGGTTACAGTTGGACTTGGTTTGGGACTGTGTGTAGACAGGGTAGGAGTCGTGTCCAAGTAGGACACTTGTATCCTAGACCTCTCATATATAGCGAGGGTAGACACACGATGTAACCTATGCTAACATAATAGCACGAGCACGTGGGGGAGCCGGCGGCGTGTGCCGGTGCCAGGGCGGCCGGGGTGCGGTATTGTGACGGTGTCACGGGGAGGAGCGCCCGTAGTCAAGCCTCGGGGATGTAGCCATATCGGTGAACCTTATTAACAAATCTCGGTGTCATGCTTGTGTGATTGCTTGGTCCTCGGTAGATCGATGGAACGCCTCGAATTTATTCTAACAATAGAAACGGGAACAAATCTTGTTAGTAAGGAAGATCTATTTCATCATTTTCAGTAGGCTGCCTGAGAATCATAGGCAGCAACCAACAAACAATATCCAGCATCCTTTCTTCTTGGATTGGATATAATATAGGAAAACCATTCAAACAAAATATAGGAAGTTAAAAATGGGCAGGCTGAGGAAATAATCCATTTGCACATTCACGACCGAGGACAACTGATTTTGTCCCATATCATTTGTTATATGCTAATAATGTCTCGCAAATAGTAGTTTTTATTTGTCTGTGAAATCATTTTTAACTTGATGTTAGCAGGAAGTTAGCAATACAAACAAGCACGCGAAAAGGATCTTGTTTTTACTCCGCTGGAAGCTCGCAGATGGCATAAAGAATTACTTCCAGCTTCCTCAAGAGATTTGACCTTTTCCCTGCAAGATGTTGTAGAGACGCTCGGTTCATGGCCAGACAAAATGTAGAAAGTGAAGAAACAAACCCAACCTTTTCAAGATCATTATTTGGAACCACAACCTGCAGTGCATATACATTGATGGTGCCCTTATTTTTAAACCTTCTTCCACATTGAGCTGGAAGTAGTACACTGGACAATATGGTTAGCTGATTGCACAGAAGGAAATGCAGATGTTGTTACTTCAAACTAAAAATCATTTGCCGTACTTACCATCGCACTAATGTTACCACACTACTTTAACCATCTCTGCAGGCGGGAAAGATCTTCCGTGGACATGCCCACAACAAAAGGAATACTACTAGAACATCAGGGGTATGACTATATATAGTTGTTGATCCTTGGAACTGGGTCGACCGATCAGGAAGGTTTGGGGAGGCCGGGGAACTTCCCCATTGGGGCATCGGTGGCGGCGACAAGGTACTTGGCCAAATCGAGGCGACACACTGGGCACTTGGCCACCTTGTAGAACCACGGCAGGATGCAGCCGCGGTGGAATTTGTGGGAGCACGGCAGCCTCACGGCGGTGTCACCGCCTTTCGCCGGTGCAGCAAAACCCTCCATGCATATAGGGCACTCGGTGCGCGTCATGGCGAAGAGGCACCGAGTGACCGTGGCGCGCTCGCACGCGAGGAGCAGCGCCTTGGGCTCGCTGTAGACGATATTCACCAAAATAGTGAGATCCATGTCGACGTTGTAGCGAAGGGTGACACCACCATGTTCATCGGTATCGTGCCGAACCGCGCGTACCATGAGCATGGCCAGATCATGGGGCAGGAAGTCGTCCCAGTTGTCGGGGGCGAGGTCGAAGTCTCCGACGAGGGGCGTCTGCTCGAGCATCTGGTGGATGGCGTCGCGGCAGGCCAGGTAGCTCTGGAAGAAGGCATCGGCGTCGAAGAGCTCGAAGAGTTTGTCGAATCTCCGGGTAGGCTCCTGGTGCAGGAGCGTGGGTCTCTTGGGCCCTCCCACAGCGCGCAGCCGGTAGCTCAGGATCAGGTCGCCGTGCAGGCGCACGAAGCACTTGTGATCTTTGCCGGGGATGATGTCTCGCTTGGTATCCCCTTCTCCGCTGAGCCGGCACTCCGTCGCCGCCGCGGCCACCGGCGGCATGTTCCTCAACGACGAAGGCATGCCTCCTAGTCGTAGGTAGCAAAGAATCGAAGCATCTCAATCTTGGGAACGGCGGGCCACGAATCTGAGAGAAAACATAGCGAATTCGCTTGAGAAAGACGCCATCCTCGCTGAATCCGAGTGGGATTCACAGGGCTTTCCTGATTAAGACGCCAAAGAAGAAGGTCATAGTTTTGCCCGAAGACGATACTACTCCCGACCGCCGGCCGCGCGAGCTCACCGCCGCCGCTGTTCCCCTTCTGTTCGGTTGACTTTTTTTCGGACTCCGAACTGGAGCAATTTCCTAACCTATCTGGTGATGGGCCAGCCCAAGTAGCGTAGCTGGTTGTTGTTTCCACCAGTGTTTATTTCGGCCTTTTCGTTCGTCCTTTTCTACTCCTTTCTAACACAGTGGGATAACTCATTTCAAAAAAAAAAAAAAAATACAGTGGGATAACTGGTTACCAACACGTCCTGATCTACGAGTTTTAACACCTAAATAAAGGTGGGAACTTGTGCAAAAAGTTTGTGATCTAATCAATCCAGTCTCGGGTCAGTGGTATGAGGAGCTCATTAGGGATATTTTTTGGCCGATTGATGTTGAATCCATATTGCCAATTCCGCTAGTGGATGATCGTGAGGATTTTGTTGCGTGGCACAATTCAAAAACAGACATATTTTCAGTAAAATCGGCATACTATGGTGAGTGAAATCATAAGTTTAGAAGAAGTTATGCCAATGATCAGGGTATAGGAGGGGCAGGAGATAGGGAGGTTTGGAGAAATTTATGGACATCTACTGTGGCACAAAAAGTGAAGTTTTTGGCTGGAGAGCACTCAAAGAATCGATCCCGTGTGTGGGCATATTAGCACGTAGACACGTCGTTGATTCAGGTCAATGTCCTTTGTGTCCAATGGGATATGAAGATTTGAAGCATATGCTTTTTTTACTTGTACTAGAGCATGGCAAGTTTGGAAGGAATTAGGAGTAAAAGAAGAGGTAGAAGTGGCTTTGTATGCCGACGGATCTGGTGCCATTGTGTTGGAGGAACTTTTAAAAAAACGACCATCCAACACCCTTATGCCCAGAAGTTCGCATACGAGAGCTAGTTTTAAATACCGCTTGGTATATTTGGTGGTTGAGAAGGCAAGCAACACATGGAGAGGAGGTCTACCCGATCAAACGATCTGTGATGCCAATCAGTGCTTTATCACTTAATTATACCAGAAGCGGGAAGAAAAAAGCTCAAAGGCCTCGAGTAGGATGGCACAAACCCCCTGAAGGGGTGTATATGATGAACGTTGATGCTTCTTTCAATCCTAAAACCCATGTGGCCGCTTCAGGGGTGGTGATTAGAGATTCTAGTGGAGGATTTGTGGCCGCTCGATGCTTCAGAATTGATGGACCAACCGATGTACTTATGGCTGAAGCTACTGCCTCTCGAGATGGCGCATGGTTTGCTCAGGAAACGGGGCATTCCAGGGTTATTCTTCAGTCTGACAATGAGCGGGTAATATCGACTCTTATCTTAGGAGGGTTTTCTGTGACTGCAAGTTTAGCAATTTTACATGACTGCATGCTGCAGGCAAGTGCCTTTGACGAGGTTTCCTACGAGTTATGCCCTAGGGAAGCAAATGCATCACATGAGATAACCAGATCATTTTTGTTTTATTCAAATTTTTGTACCTGGGTCGATGAACCCCCTACATTTCTTATGCAGACACTTATACACGATGTAACGACTTTTTTTTAAGATTTGGAGCAGTATAAACACTACTTCGAGAGAACAAAACATTCAGATAGCATCAGACTTCGGAGACTATAAGGGACGTCATTCAGCATCCTCTGATCCCCAGCGGTTCTGGTTAACACTGCTAGCTCATGTGCCAAGGCGTTTTTGTTACGTCTCACACAGTTGATTCTACACCCAGCGAACGCGGACATGGCTCGCTTGATGTCCATTATTATGCCATAGTAGGGGGATTTCGTTGGGTTCTGTTCAACAAGCTCTTTGGCAATACTCTGGCAGTCCATCTCCAAAATAACCTTTCCCCTATAAATTCCCGCTAGTTCCTGGAGCGCCACCAGGGCAGCCCGGGATTCTGCCTCCTCTACACTGTAGCAAGGGTCAAGTTTCAGAGATAGTGCCATAACTACTCCACCTTTGGAATCCCGAGCGACAGCCCCGACACCACTCTCTCCTGTCTCCGGCACATAGGAGGCGTCAGAATTTATTTTCAGACAGCCCGGTTCAGGTGCCTCCCATATCTTGTCCCGTGATTCAGCGGTTTGCAGTCTGGGTACAGTCTCATCCCCCATATCCATCCTGCTTGTGTGCCCAGTTATCGTTGCCGCATTTCGGAATTCTTCCTCGAACTGCATCAGAAACTGAGTCAATCTGCTGATCGCCTCTTTGCCATTGCTATGCACACAATCCTCACGTAGATGTTAGCATCGCCATATCAGAAGGAGGAGTTTTGCTCGCATGTCCTCGTTCTCAGTGCTTAACAACACCTGCATCCAGTCATTCCCGGTATACCAAAACCTATTCTCTGACGGTAAACCCCATTTTTCTCTCATCGCTGCCCTCAGAGCTCTGCTCTTCGTGCAAGCAATCACAACATGGTGCTCATCCTCCTCTCCATTGCCACAAATACAACAAGTAGGATCTATCTCCAGAGTTCTTTTCCACAAATACAGTAATGATATTTGATAAGGAATAAAAAGCCCTAGGATTGCTGGTGAAAAAACAACAACGTGGGATCGTGATACATTACGAGGGCCGAAGAAAAGGATACATAAACTGCAAAAAGATTTGGAGAAGTTAAGGAGGGGATAGCTAACAACCAAGTCTAGATAGAAAATGAAGGAAACACAAATACTTATTGAGAACCTGCTGGACCAGGAGGAAATTGTTTGGCTACAATGTGCGCGGGCAAACTGGTTACTACATGGTGCCCAGAACACGTCTTTTTTTCTTTCAATAAAGCAGAAACAACACGTAAGAAGAGGAATTGTATTAAGAGGCTCCTAGATGATACATGATTGTGGAGAGAAGGTGTGGAAGAAATCAACTCCATTATTACCAGATATTTCATTAATCTATTTACATCCCAAGTTAAGTATCGATATGAATGAAAAGTTGATGGCACCTTACACGGCAGGAGAAGTGAAGAAAGCACTATTTTCTATCGGTGATCTTAAGGCCCACGGGCCAGCTGGTTTACATCCTATCTTTTACAAGCGATTTTGGTCCATGCTTGGTAATGACCTAGTAGTGTAAGTGTTAAATGTAGTTAATTCACAGGTGATGCTGCAGGGCTGGAACATCATCACGATTGTGATGATCCCAAAGGTACAGACACCAGAGAAAGTTTCGCAGTTTAGACCGACCAGTCTTTACAACGTGGTCTATAAGGTTATCTCCAAAATGATTGCCATGAGACTAAAATTATTCTTGCCTGAAATAATAAGTCCAACCCAGAGTGCCCCGAGGAGGTTAATCATGCACAATGTTCTTGTTGCATATGAAAGCTTACATACAATTAAGAAAAAGAAATCAGGCAATCAAGGGTGGTGTGCGGTTAAGCTTGGTATGCATAAAGCCTATGAGCAAGTCGAGTGGGTCTTTCTGGAAGCTATTTTTCTCAAACTTGGTTTTCTTGCAATTTGGGTGAATATGATTATGTTATGTGTATTTTCGGTGGATTACAGGGTCAGGCACAATGTGAAAGAGACAAAAGCTTTCATACCACCGAGAGGGCTGCGCCAAGGGGATCCCTTCTTATCGTATCTTTTCCTTATGTGCACAGAGGGACTTACTGCCTTACTCCCTAGGGCTGAAAATAACGGTGACCTAGTGGGGGTGAGGGTTTGTCGTGATGCACCAGCCGTGACAAATCTTCTGTTTGCAAATGATCCACTCATCCCGATGAAGGCCAATGCTACTAATGCTGCTTGTGTGAATTCCATCCCGGATCTTTACTGTTCGGCATCCGGCCAACTGGTTAGTGTGGAGAAATCTAGCATTTTTTCAGCCCGAGCACCGATGCTAATGTTAAGGCACATGTATGCTCAACTCTAGAGATCATGACAGAGGCTTCGAATGACAAATACTTGGGCCTCTCGACTACTTTGGGAATTGATAAAAGTGACAACTTCCAATATCTGATTGACCACCTGGTTCAGAAACTTACAGGATGGAAGGAGAGATGTTTGTCTTCTGGGGGAAAAGAAGTGCTCTTGAAATCAGTAGTGCAAGCGATGCCAACTTATGTGATGTCCGTCTTCAAAATTCCTAAAAAAATATGCAAAGGAATCACAGACGAGATGTCTCGTTATTGGTGCGGCGATGGCGCAACTAATAAAAAGATGCATTGGTTTGCCTGGTGGAGATGTGTATACACCAAAGAAGAAGGGAGGTGTGGACTTTAGGGATATCCATTGTTTTAACGTTGCCCTTTGGCAAAACAAGCTTGGCGCCTCATTAACAATCCATACTCACAATGTGCAACCATTTTAAAAGCCAAGTACTTGGGAAGGTGATTGAGGTTGATGCGGATAGAGAGGGTAGAATCTGGGGAGAGTTCATCAGAATTTGGATCAACCATGACGTTGATGAGCCCCTCTGTAGCAAGCTAGAATTCCATGACTATGCATAGGATGTTGTGTATCGCCTCAATGTAAATATGAGCGACTTCCCCGTTTCTGTAGCTTCTGTGGATACCTAGGGCATGGCAAACGCGAATGTAAGCTACCGTCAAACCTCCAAAAGATGAGGTTCTCGGCAGCGTTGCGCACCTCCCCTTTTAAAAGGAGTAGTAACAGAGGTGGATTCGCCGCCCCGGAGACAGCCAGTGCCAGGAGATTCCTCAACTTTGAGCCAGAAAGTCCGTACAAGGCGAGACCAGCACCAATGATACTGGCCACAGTGTATACCAGAGAGGTTCCAGATGATGTACTGGCGGATCCACTGGTGCAAGAGGCGATCGCCGCGATGCAGGCGATCAGGCTGGGACCGG